TCATTTAACAGTTGCCATTTTATACGATTTCCTTGAGTTCTTTTCGAGAAAAAAAAGTTTTACGGTTTTTATCGTAAAACTTGAACAGTAAGACGGATCGAGACGAAACGGGAGACATTTCGACCGTGGTTTGGGACATGATCGTGTCGAAGGACGTAAGCTATGAATCGGGGATGTGGGAGATCGAGGCTCGGGATGGTCGGCTCGACGTACGATGGGCCGAATCGGACTGGTTCAGCTCGCCGTATGTCGAGCTACCCGGGAAGCGTCTAGCTCGCCGTACGCGAGCTCTTGGGACGGGGCTAGCTTGCCGTACGGCGAGCTAATTCGTCCGAACTAGCTCGCGGTTTACGGCGGTTGCGGTTTTTCACGGTTTTGTGCTTAACTCGGACGATCGTGTAATCGACGTTTGTTTCGTTCTTCCGAGATAACGATTTCCATGTCTTTCCCCGGATTCCTGTTGTTCGGAAACTTTTTTTATAAAACGATTTCTCAAGTTATATAAAACGATTTCTCGAGTTTTATGAAACGATTTCTCGAGTTTTGTAAAAACGATTTCTCGAGTTTTATAAAACGATTTCGCGAGTTTTATAAAACGATTTCTCGGCTTTTATAAAATATATATATTTTTATCTTTTTGCGGAAAGTTTTGGCTATTGATTCTGTCGTACCGATTTTGACCCCAACAGATTTATTCCGGGAACTTTGAGTTAATCGTTTATGTGCACATTGTGGCTTCTTTTGTTTGGTTTACGTTACTAGTGATTGGCTGTGCATGTTCTTCTTTGATTGTTGCACAGCCAGTTGAGTCAACTTGTACTTAGACCAGATCAGGGGTTTCACAAAGACGATGGATGGAATTTGAAGCTGGTTACAATCTGGATATAGCTTATCATCCGAGAAAGGAAACCTAGTAACGGATGCCTTGAGTCGAATACGAGCTGAAGTATGAGCTGAAAAGGAAGCAAGAGATCGGGAAGGAATTTTCCGGACATTGCACCTCAACACTCTGGCTCGAGAGGATGAGCCTTTGGGGTTGGAGGCAGTGGAACATGCCTTTGGGGTTGCACTTAATGACAAAACTGAGTACTAAACGATGAGTAATGGTACCATCTTGGTCAATGGAAGGATTAGTTTTCCTAATGACAAGGAGCTCAAGGAAGACATTATGAGGGAAGGCTCACAAACCTAAGTTCTCAGTCTATCCAGAGCTGAATAAGATGTGCCGAGATCTGAAGAGGTACCACCATTGGGTTCGGATGAAAACTGATGTGGCTGAGTGGGTCGCTAAGTGTCCTACTTGCTAACTCGTAAAATCTGAACATCAAGTTTCCAGTGGATTACTTCAGAATCTACCTATACCATAATAGAAGTGGGATCACATAACAAAGGACTTTTTAATTGGATTCCCAACGACCAGAAACATGAAGGATATGGCATGGGTAGTGGTCAATCGTTTGACCATATCTGCACATTTTCTGGCCATCGGGAATGTGTAGATCAGATTGAACGATTGTATTTGGATGAGATAGTGCACCTGCATTGAGTGCCAGCCAGCATTGTCTCGAATAGGGATTCGACGTTTACTTCTTATTTCTGGCAGGCTTTCCAAAAAGCCTTAGGGACTAGAGTAAACATGAATATAGCATATCATCCACTAACGGATGGGCAGGCAGAAAGGACGATCCAGACGCTTGAGGATATGCTATTGGCGTGTGTTTTTGGACTGGGGAGATTCCTGGGAAAAGCACTTACCCTTAGTGCAGTTTGCTTACAATAATATTTTCCTCACAAGCATTGGTATGTCGCCATATGAAGCTTTGTACGGAGGACCTTGCAAGACACTTCTCTGCTAGATTCAAATGGGGGAGCGTAACATGTTGGGTCCTAAGATCGTGGAGGAAACTACAAAGAAGATCAAGTTCTTAAAGGACAAGATTAAGGAGGCACATGATCGCCAAAAGAGCTATGCATATAAAAGAAGGAAACATCTTGAGTTCGAGGTCGATGACTTGGTCTACCTCAAGATGATCACGTTTAAAGGAAGGACCAGAGTTTCCGGAAGAAGGAAACTAGATCCTAGGTACCTGGGTCCATTCAGGATAGTGGAAAGAGTGGGTGCAGTGGCGTACAAGTTGAACTTTCCATCAGAAATGGATGCATTTCATAGTGTGTCCCATGTATCTCAGCTAGAGAATTATTTGTCGGAAAAAGACATTGTGTTGCCTAAGATCCCTGCTGATCTAGGTAAGGACCTAACTTTAGAAACAAGGCTGGATCGAATCATAGATCAGACAGAGAAGACAACAAGGAAGAAAACAGTTCCTATGATTAAAGTGGTTTGGTACTGCAATGGGAAGGACATATTCACTTGGGAAACATAAGGAAAAATAAAGGCTGAATACCCTAACTTCTAAATCAGTTTATTCCTGATGTAACACTTGGTTTGGATCTGAGGACGAATCCATCGCAAGTGGGGTAGACTTATCATGTCCCCAATCCTAGATAGGAATGTCCAGACGGGCCATGGTGCGGGGAAACACACCAATCAGGTCATATGAACTAAAGACAAGCGTACCATGGTCCAAAACGTGGTTAAGTGTATCAGATAGTTGGGACTTAATCAAAACGAGAGAGAGAGAGAGAGAGAGAGAGAGAGAGAGACAAGTTTAAGGGAGCTGGATGAGTGAAGACCATGGTTTGCATCTCTCAACTTATAGAAGATTATATCAAGAGTGATAGAATAAATCATATTCCTCTAAGGTTTTTCTCGTACGTATAAGATCTCGAGAAAAATCAAGAAGTGGACATCGATTATGTACGATTATGCAACAATCATGCTGATTTGTTCACAAAGACTTTTCCGTCTATAACATTCTGAAAACACATCTACGGTATCAGAATGTGACATTTGTGTGACCTGTGAAAAAAAAGCTATGACAACCCATCCTGCGGATCTAGGCTGACCCTACATGGCACCGACCCTAGCCCCTCACATGTAAGTCCTAGGCTCTCTCAAGTAAGTTATTGGTGCGCTTGTGAAAGGTTGTTAAAAGATGAAATAATCTTGTTTACTAATCTTGTAATCACCACATGACTTTTCACCGTGCTTTGGCCTCAATCATATGGTATCGCGAATCACTTCCAGATAAGTAATTCATCTTTCCACTAGTCCAGTCCAACCACGTTTAACCTTAGAGTTCTAAACGAATGTGTAACGAAAAAGATAAGTCAATTTTAATAACATAGGTAATCAAATCAATTCTTCTAAACCTTTTTATATATTACAACTCGAAATGTTTCATAAACTGTCCATTGTTTTTAGGCGATTACGTCACTATACGCTTTTTCTCTCGTCATGATTTTATTCATTCAAGTTTTTTCAGTTTTAACAAGTCGATATATAATAGAAGATGGATCAATGAGAAGTGTTATAAATTGATGATGTGATAACTATAAAGTTTTTATTGTACTATAAATATGTGTACGTACAGTTGACAACAATAATAATCAAGATTCTATCGCAATCTCTCTTTAACGGTCAAACATCTTGCTCGCTCCTTCTATACACACAAATCAATAATATATTATATCTTTCTCACCTTTGTTTACAACCCCCGCGTTGACCAAAAAAAAAGAAAAAGTTTACAACCCCCGCGTTGTTTTCTAGTTTACAACCCCCACGTTATTTTTCTAGTTTTCAACCCCCACGTTATTTTTGATAAAAGCATATTTATTCGGATTTCTTAGTAGAGTTTTTAGTGTGTGAATTCCCACAAAATTCTTAAAAATTAGTTATAAAATCATTAATTAAAAACTAATTTTTATAAATTTTTTGCACTGTTCATAAATTCTACTGTCAACAGCGAGATTAATTTATTTTATAATTTTTTTTTGAGTCATTTAGGTGAATATACATAGAAAGAGTGGTAATTAGGTAGATGGTTGTTTTAAAAAAATATTTGCACGATCGTGCAAGAGGGGTGTGTGAAATTACATACGACTCCAAAACAACGTAGGGATGGGCTGATTTATTCTGACGAGTGTGTCGGACAATAAATAATATTTTTTGTTTTTGCTTTTTTAGAAAAAGTTGTGAGCTATTTGTTTGCATTTGTATTGTTAATAATAATCAAACAGAAATCCGGTTCAAATTAGGTTAAATATATATATAAGATGAGTTACGTGAGTACAGAGTTTATGAGTTTATTAGTGGTTGTGTCATAGTCGTGTGCAGCTTAAACAAAATGAATCTTTTCAAACCAAAAACGATGGTTTCTCTAGTGATACCGAACACTGTAGAAGCCAATTTTTTTTTAAAAATCCATTTGAAAAAAAAAATATGATCAAACAAATCATGATCCGGATACATTCACCATAAGAAAAACTCCCAGAAAACAAAAGATCTCACCATCATCATCATCATAGAAAACAAACACCGTTCCAAACTCATAACTCGAAAGCAGAAGGATAAATAAAAAACCAAAAAAAAAATCGGCGATAACAAAGAGGCCATGAAAAAACGCACCAATACAATAAAAACACATCAATACAATATGTTCAAAGGAACATCATCAGGATTACAAGAATCAGATTTATTTTTAGTTTTTTTTAGTTTGATTGTAATTACAGTGTTCTTGGCACGGAGACCTTCTGAGGAAAAAAAAAAGAAATAATTTTTATATTAGATAATGCAAGTAGACATAAGGGTATGGTAGGTATATTTGAAAAAGGAACAGTATGCATATCACATTGCTAATTATCTTTTATTCTATGTATATAGGATGCAATTACTCTTTTTTTTAAGACAAAACAAAGAAACCCTTAATTTCTTAAGGATAAACATGGTCTAACTTTGGAATTTTTTTGGGTAAACTCTACAAACAAAAAAGGAAATGGAATAAACAATTAATTGAGTCGGGCCTTTTGGGGTTAGAAAGTGAGAGGAGCAACTTTAAAAAGAAACACGTAGCAAAGTGAAAGAGAATCTTCGTGAGAGAAGGCTTTTGATTCCCCTCTCTCTCTCCTACAATCATCTTCACAGACTCATCACTTCTCTGTTTTGTCCTCCGTCTCCAGATTTCTCTCAGATTCCGACCCAAGTCAACTCGTCGCTGCTTTATTCTTTGCTGTTTTGTTGGAATGATAACACGGATCCTCTCCGATCTCATGGATATTCCAACGGCGGTTGCTGCCGGCCAATCCGTGATGGGTACGATCAAGATCGCCGTGATGCCAATAGCCAAAGTGTTCACCATGTGCTTCTTGGGTCTTCTTATGGCCTCTAAGTACGTCAACATCTTGCCTCCCTCCGGCCGCAAACTCTTGAACGGGGTAATCTTTCTTCCTTTCTTTTTGTTTCACCTCGAGTGTTTGTTTCTGTATCAACAAGTTTGTGTCATGTTCCATGATACTACAGTTGGTCTTCACGCTTCTGCTTCCATGCTTGATCTTTTCCCAGCTCGGACAAGCCGTTACTCTCCACAAGATGCTTCAATGGTTTTGTTTCTTTTTCCTCAAGTCTCTTATTTATCTATTTCTATAGGGTCAAAGGCACCTTCTTTTGATCTGTTTCAGGTGGTTCATTCCGGTTAACGTCGTTCTTGGTACAATCTCAGGATCGTTAATAGGCTTCCTTGTTGCTACCATTGTTCGGCCTCCTTACCCTTATTTCAAGTTCACAATTATTCAAATTGGAGTTGGTTAGAACCCTTGTCTTGTCTGATACTTCTCTATGGCTACTTGTAATCCGTCTCATACTCTGTGTGTGGGCCCTGTGCAAAGTTTATTTTCACAGCAATAACTAAAAGAATTTTTTAGAAAAAGACCCTTAAATTTTGCAAAAACAAAGGCCTTAAACACTAACTAAAATTTTGAAAAAAATGTTGTGGACCTAGTGCAAATGCACCTTTGGCACATTCCAAGAGACGGGCTGTTTATGTGTCTTTTGTTGTTTTCAGGTAACATTGGTAATGTGCCTCTTGTGCTACTAGCGGCTCTATGTAGGGACAAATCCAACCCTTTTGGTGACTCTGATAAATGTAGCATTGATGGCACTGCCTATATCTCTTTTGGTCAATGGGTACACTTTTCAACACGTAGCATTGATGTCACTGTTTGTTTCCATTTCGCTCAATTTCTTAGGGACTTTAACTGTGTCAGGTTGGTGCTATCATCCTCTACACATATGTGTACCAGATGTTTACTCCTCCTCCTGAAGGTTTCGATGGTGAAGATGAAAATCTTCCTTTGAAAAATGTACCTGTTGATGCTACTGCTTCAGAGCAAATCCCCTTGCTTAGTCAGAATCATCCCAAGGACGTTTCACTCTCTCAAGCTCCCCTCGCTGTACAGTACGATGAACCTAGAGGAAGAGTGGATTTAAAGATTACACAGATCTTTGTTTACCTCTATGAGAAGTTGAAACTAAAGCAAATCATCCAACCTGCAATAATTGCTTCAGTAAGTATATTTCGCCTGTTCCGTTCTCCTGTACTATTCTGACAATCTGATGAACAAGAGAACTTGAAATTAACATTACTTTGTTACTAAAAACAGACATGTTTTCCGTTTACTTCCAGATTCTGGCAATGATACTTGGTGCAATACCTTTCACGAAGAAGTTGATATTCACAAATGGTTCACCTCTTTTCTTCTTCACAGATAGCTGCATGATTCTTGGGTAAGCATTGCAAACACATTCTTTATTTATTTTCTGCAAATATTAACTGTAGAAGAAACTTTTGGCTACCAGGGACGCCATGATACCGTGTATCTTGCTGGCACTTGGTGGAAATCTCATTAACGGTGAGGATTACTGCTCTCTCATATTCATATAGATCTTTGTTTTGAGCCCATATTAATGGAACTTCCTTGTACAAAACATTTTCAGGACCAGGAAGTTCAAAACTTGGTTTCAAGACAACAGGGGCGATTATATTTGGACGGTTGGTGTTGGTGCCACCAGCAGGACTAGGAATAGTGACATTAGCAGACAAACTTGGGTTCCTTCCAGCTGATGACAAGATGTTTAGGTTTGTGTTACTTCTACAGCACACAATGCCTACCTCTGTGCTCTCCGGTGCTGTTGCCAACCTTAGAGGCTGTGGAAGGGAGTCAGCTGCTGTGCTCTTCTGGGTTCACATCTTCGCCATCTTCTCAATGGCTGGATGGATGGTAATGTATATCAACATACTCTTCTAGATTCTTCGTCATATTTACTTTTATCTTTCTTGTGTAAAATGTCACATGAACTGAGCTACCTTCCTTTTGTTTGCTCTGAATAAATTAGTATATTGACATGTGCTTTATAAAGGTTTAAACTTCTATTAAACTAAGATCCATGAGATGAAACAAAAACAAACACTCAAACAACTTATACACTAACACCTGGAACTAGTCATCAGCTGTTTGAGAAAACTGCATCCATCTTCTGGTTCTGCTCTTCCTTTGGCTGTGAAAAACCAAAAACACGTTATGGGAAGTTACAAAATTTAAAATAACCAGCCTAATGTTAATGTATCCGATTACTGTATTATGTTTTTTTCTTGAATTCTTTTTTGCATTCCTATTTTAGTGGAGTCTAAACATGGATCCTATTTTATATTTAAAAAGTAACATTTTCATAAATTTGACATATGGATCCTATTTTATATTTAAAAATTTACAAAATTATGTATAGAAATAAAAGCAAAAAATAAAAAGAAAAAATGAGAAGAGTAACACACGATGTTTAACAAATCAATCCAATCCAGTAATCTCTTCCGACGGTTCTATTTGCCCACACTCCACGATCACCATTCATATCTACTCTTATAACTACCTTCAATTTATCGTTTATACTGTGGGAATAGAAATCCACCTACTGTCAATAGATCGTAAATAAGGAAACTTCGGATAAACCCTAAGTTTTCAGAGGAACCGGCTATCTGCAAAACCACACAACGATAATTAAGAAAACGATGAACTTTAAAATTAAACAGAGAATTAATGAGATTGAGAGCAAGAAGGTTCTTATTCCGAATCTGCGTGGGAACTGGTACAAAGAGAGTAGCCGAAACTCTAAAAGTCTAAGAACGAAAAACCCTAGTTGAGACGCAGCTCGCTAACAGAAAACAGAAATATTCCTAAACGCTTATTTTGGTGGTGAAAGCTCTGAAAATCGTGTCCCAGCTTCTGCCCTATGCCTCTTGCTTATATACTCCCTCTTAGGTAGTTTTAGTCTTTCCATTTCGCCCGAAATCAAGTTTATCGGGAATTTTCCATTTCTCTTGATCCTTCCTTTTCTCCCGCGGAAATTTTCTATTTATCTTCAAACTTGCCTTTTGTCTTCAAACTTGACATTTATCTTCCTTCTGCGAGTAAACCATCAAAACGTTATCGTATCTTCGGGTTTGATTTCTTTAATATCGGGAGATGGTTTTTTATCGTATTTTAAGACCTTTTGGGCCGTTTTACGATAAAATCTGTTTTACGACTTTATACGAGATCGTTTCCAGATCCGATGCAGTTTTGTATGATTTTCTCGACTTTTTATTAAAAACGCGTTTTTTATGATTTTCTTGAATAAATCGTATAGTTTAGGCAATGTTCGGTGTTTCATTTAGCCGTTGCCGTTTTATACGATTTCCTCGAGTTCTTTCTGAGAAAACAAAGTTTAACGGTTTTTACTGTAAAACTCGAAAGATAGGTCGGATCGAGACGAAAAGGGAGACATTTTGAACATGGTTCGGAGCACGACCGTGTCGAAGGTCGTAAGCATTGAATAGGGGATACGGGAGATCGAGGCTTGGGATGGTTGATTCGACGTACGGTGAACCGGGCCGGACCGGTCCGGCTGGCTGGTCAGTGAACCGTCTGGGAAGCTTCTAGTTCGCCCAACGGCGAACTAAGCCGGTCATGGCCTAGTTCGCCGTTGGGCAAACTAAGCCGGCTTAGCTTAGTTCGCCGTTGGGCGAACTAGTCGGGACGGGGCTAGTTCGCCCAACGGCGAACTAAGCCAGTCATGGCTTAGGTCGCCGTTGGACGAACTAGCCGGGACGAGGCTAGTTCGCCCACCGGCGAACTAAGCCGGCTTGGCTCAGTTCGCTGTTGGGCGAACTAGTCGGGACGATGTTAGTTCGCGTTTTACGGCAGTTTCGGTTTTTCGTGGTTTTGTAAAACGGTCCTTCGAGTTTTATAAAATGATTCTTCGAGTTTTATAAAACGATTCTCGAGTTTTATAAAATGATTCTCGAGTTTTATAAAACGATTCTCGAGTTTTATAAAACGATTCTTTGAGTTTTATAAAATGATTCTTCGAGTTTTATAAAACGATTCTCGAGTTTTATAAAACGATTCTTCGAGTTTTATAAAACGATTCTTCGAGTTTTATAAAACGATTCTTCGAGTTTTATAAAACGATCCTCGAGTTTTATAAAACTATTCTTTGAGTTTTATAAAACGATTCTTCAAGTTTTATAAAATGGTTTTCGAGTTTTATAAAACGATTCTTTTTTGGTTTAAAAAACGATTCTCGACTTTTATAAAACGACTCTCGAGTTTTATAAAACGATTCTTTGAGTTTTATAAAACGATTCTTCGAGTTTTATAAAATGGTTTTCGAGTTTTATAAAATGATTCTTTTTTGGTTTAAAAAACGATTCTCGAGTTTTATAAAACGACTCTCGAGTTTTATAAAACGATTCTTTGAGTTTTATAAAACGATTCTTCGAGTTTTATAAAACGATTCTCGAGTTTTCTAAAACGATCCTCGAGTTTTATAAAACGATTCTTCGAGTTTTATAAAACGATTTCTTTTATATTTCTACGGGGAGTTTTGGTCATTGATTCCGTCATACCGATTTTGACCCCAACAGTTATCCCCCCAGTTCATAAAAATCGTTTGAGTTCTTGCGAGCGGATCGAGCTTGTTTGGCGAGTTTGGTAGAATTAGGCGGAAATTTAATGGCCAAAAGTCCAAAGGTGAATAGTAAAATGTTTCTTATAAGTATATGGAGTAAATTTTTGAATTCTTTACTTCACCTTTCATAAGTTGTCCAAGAAACTTTCTCTCTACTTCCTTTGAATCTATTTCTTCCAAAGTTTTCAAGTATGTTTTCAAAAAGAAGAACTCGTTCCTCAACAAGCTCTGACTCTCGTAACTCCGAAGGATCGAGCTCGCAACCTCGAGTTTCGGTTCCCAAGGAGGAATGCTCGTTTCCTTCGATCGATCCGGCAGATCGTGCGGCTTTTTGGGCGTTGGGAGACGAGTCGGGATCTGCTAGGCCTGGGATTTGGGTCCCAGCTCCATCGGAGGTTGATTAAGCATCCGAACATCCGAACTCAGTTCCTCCTAACAGTATTGAGTTCATGCGAGAATTTTGCCAAGTTCCAGAAGCGGTCGAGTTTGGCCTTCCACTTGCCGGGGAGAGCGACAAGGCTGCGCCTGATGGCTTTTTTACGTGATACAACGCCTTTTTGCAGCAATGCCACTTGTGGTTTCCGATCCAGGAGGTCATTGTTCGATATCTTCATTGGCTGGGATTAGGACTGTTCAATATGGTGATACCGAACCGTACCGAACCGAACCGAAATAGACAATATGGTTTGGATTTGGTATATACCATATAAACCGAATGGATATGATTTTATAAAAACTGTAGGATTTGGATATGGTTAGGTTTATAACCGATTAAACCGAATAAACCGAACAAAACCGATCAAAGAAAAAATATAGAAATATATACATTATATAACCATTTATTTTCTTGGAATAGTCTTTTTATTTTAATTTTTTATACCTTGTGGAGATATATCTTAATAATTTTATTTTTTTTCTTCAACTATTATCTAAATTTGATTTGATTTTACATGTTGTAAGAAATTGTGAAATTAGATTGTACCATGTAATTTATTTGGAAGAACAAAGAGAAAATAAGAAAAGCTATAAAAACTGAATCGTTGAACGTTTTGTTTGTTGTTAATTTCACATTTTTATATTTATGAACACCTAGGATTATTTTAATAAATGATAGTTTTGACAATATGTTTTCAAAAAAAATTCATATAATATGAAACCAAATCAAATAATAATGTTATTTGGTATAAAACCGAATAAACCGAAAACCGGTAGTATAAAAACCGAACAAACCAAATTAAATATGGTTCCAATATGGTAGCTTATTTTTATAAACCGAATAACCGAAAACCAAAAAAAACCGAACCAAAACCGGACCGAACACCAGATTTAACAGGCCTAGCTGGGATTATCGATCAGTCAGTTGACTCCCCTCTAGTTTAAAACAACTTTTTGGTCTTTTGAAGCTGAGCTACGAGCAGGGAATCATCCTCAGCGTTGACCATCTCGAAGGTCTACTGAAACCCACGGAGATGACGCAAAGGATCACTTTGTACCCTCGTGAAGGAATCGTCACTGGTTGTTCATCGATCTCTCCTTCTTGGAAGAAAATTTTCTTCTATGTTCGCATTGAAAGTGCGTCCTCGAGGAGGATTGCATCCCATTTTTCACGACCGTATGGGGTCGGAAAGGTACGTGATTCGAGTTCATACAAATTTGTCCTTTTGCTGCCCCTTTTTTTTTATTCGTTTTCGTTTTCCACAGAGACCAACCCTTTACTTCCGCATCCAGTAGATCTCCCGAATATCAGTGACTTACTGAAGCGCAGGGAAGTTGGCTGGGGCAGTTTTTCTCCACAGCGTGTCCGCCGGGCGGTTGCTCTCGCCCGATCTCGGATTTTTGCGGTTTCTCTGAGTTATGGAGAGGATCCGTTTATAGGAGAATTTATCCCGTACGTTCCCTCAATGAGGAGAAGCGGGTCGAGATTCCGAAGGGACAAGAATCCGGTTGTTGAAGATGACGATTCTGAACGTGCGGCTTCTCCTCACAATATTCTCAAGGACTTCCTTGATAGTCAAGCGGAAGAAGGTGTCTGGACGAAAGCGGGCGGATCGTCGACCTCCCATTTTCCGGGCGTTGATCATGATCAAGTCCCGGAGTTTACTAGAGGGTCTGAGCAAGCTAAAGAGGTACGTGCGTTTATTTTTTTTGAGCGATTTTATCATCGGATGATTTCGCTTAATTCTTTTCTTTGGCAGAGTTTCCTTGTCATGAGCCGGGCCCTAGACAGCCGTAATGCTGAAGCTCGTCTTGCCGAGTTTCGAGCAGATATGGCCGAAAAAG